CAAAAAAAAATTCACGAAGCAAAAAAAATCATAGAATGGCAAAGAATTCAATTTATATGCCTATTCTCCACTACGTTCAACACACTACGTGTGCGAATTAAAGACGTACCTTGATCTTAATATAGAAGCATATCTGGAAGCTTTCGGACACTGACCTCTCCCACGAACAGATCAATCACAATCACAGCTTCTATCAATTACACAGCCAAAAAAATCGCTGCTGCAGAGCTCCTCAGGTTCTATAAGGATGGTCACAACTTCCTTATTTCGTGAAGTGCATCCACGATGCCAAGACCGTCAGTTTTGGGCCAGGGGCAGGGGACCACCCCCTCGCTCCCTATCCTGTATCGCCTTGTTGCTGCTGCCAGGATTTCGAAAACGCGCATAAATCTTTTTGGAACGAGTTTAAGAAATACAACCTTTTATATGGAATTCTTCCATTTTCTTCGCTGTGGAAATTGTCGTTGGCGTGCTTCCACTCCGCTGGCCCCCCCGCTGAGTCAATGCCGAAGTTGGACCTTCGCTTGGCTGACTCGAATACCATGAGGAACGCACGTTTGGTTGCCATATTATCATTTAAATTTTCCCCTTCGAGCGAGAAACCAGATGCACCGCAGCCATTTTTGTACGAATTTTAAACGCAAATACGTCATGAATTGATATGTCATTTTGGGTTTGTTGCATAAGTACGGGTACGAGATAAAAAGAATATTTTATATAATATTCTGGTATATTTATATCCTGTATATAAAAAGTGGAAAGCGATAATCATGCTGACCAAATGCTTTAATAATTTCCTTTTTCGCACGATATCTTGAAGGTCGCTTGCGCGATAACGATTCCGTGCAACTATTGAAACCTTCGACACTTTTCTTAGCTTTGGCGAATTTTTCAGCTCATGGACATGGAATCAAAACAAGCGGCCAAATCCCGAGACCAATACGTTCGTATTCCAGAAGTGGACTTGTCATCGGAATTCGACTCGCCCAGCGACCACTCTATATTCCTTATCTGAACGTGGACGGACAAAGGACTCAGACCAGGATCAAAATTCATGTGACCTAAAGGAAAAAATTATTATTTATATATATGGTAAAAAAAAATGGGTCGGAAAATTTTTATCAAAAAATTCAATATTTTGGTTCTGGACGAATTTTTATATTTATTTCATTTTATAAATATATCAAAAAAATAGAATTTCAATTTCTCTGTTTCATATGAATCAATATAGTAGACTACCCCTTGGAAGGGACTCTTTCCAATTCGACTTCAAATTTCCGAGCGAGGCTCTTCTATATTATATATATATATTATAGATCAACTATATCATGATTCTTTTACAGTAAATGCAATGTTTTGGAAAAGACTTCAATACCACTAAGGAATAATGGAGAAAGAAGTCAATAACAAGAAGTCTATTCTTATCGTCGAAGCTGGGGCAATACGGAGTAAATAGCAGAATTTCATTTTTCAGCCATATTCACGAAATGAATAGAAGATATTCATCAAAAATATTTTTAATTGAATTGATTAATGATTCTATTTTATATCGCAAGAAAAAATAATAAATAACTTCCTCTAATCGATATAAAAACGAATTTCAGATAGATTATTACTCGACTATTCCAAAAGGTCGAAGATATATTCAGAAAATTACGCAAGCGAGCAATTCTATTAATGAAATATTCAAGATGAAAATTGCCGTTATTAGAAGACAATAATATCGTAAAATCCGAAATCTAGATAATTTCAACCAACTCCTTATAGACGATTATTTCCGCCATATCTTATTATTCTCTCGATAATATATGAAATAAAAGATATGAATTTCTATAATCAATAATCAAGAAAAAATTTCAAATATACGATTACGACCTGCTCAAAAATCAAAGAATATTTTCAATATATGCCACGTATTCGCTATTCACTCATAATCGAAAATATCATCAGATCTCAAAATATCTCATCAAAATAAGACGGAATCGATATAGATATTAAAATAGAATTAACCCAAAATCTATTCAAAAATCTTTCTGACATCCTCAATATATTAATTTGAATCAAATAATTATAAATAAATTCAATATTATCAGAATTTAAAAATAGATATTGTCTATATTATTCGAAATACTTTATATCGCGCCTTATCAACGTCTAGATCCAAATTACCAATTCAATCTATTTCAAACTATCACACAATCTATTGCAAACCATCTACTATATCCAAAATCTATTTTAAGCCATCTACTATATCTAATTTCCAATCAGTTTTCAAATCGGATAATCGTCCCGAATACAATTCTTTATATTTTCATTCACCGGTAATGGAAACAAATTTCATTAATTAAAAAAAAATTAGATAATGAATTAAAACCAATATTTATCAATAAGAGTCAAGAAGCAATCCTAAAAATAACGAGAATTATAGAAATGACAAGAAATGATTCATAGAAAAATATAAACGAACCACCAATATCCAATACCATATATTTCTCATTTCCTGAATTTAAATCGAATAATCCAGAATTATGCCAGCCTCCCTGCCTTGCCCTCTGCCTCTCCTACCCACGTTCGATTTAGATAAGATCGATCTAAATAAACAACTCAAAGTACTCTACCTCGGATGCTCGATGGATCATCCAACACCGTTATTTTCTATTTACAAAATCCAATACTAATTGAACAAGCTGAACGTAAATATGCTGACATATATGAAAGACGCGGCTTAAATTAATCAACTTATTACTTGTTTTTTTCGCACACGGTAATTTGCTTCTATTTTTACCTCAAAAGCTCATTTATATAATCCCAACCAATTCCTATATTTCCAATAGATATAAAAAATTCGATCCATTATATAGAGATGAATCAATATCTCGTATTATCGCGGAGACCCATCCCCTCTATGGCAAAATTTTACCGCATCAATTCTCTTATGAACCTGTATCGTGCGACGATATTATATGAGAGATTTTATCGTACCAACCTTATCGAAAAACATAATGTTTATTATCAATTTTATCGCGCGAGGAGCGTCTAGGTCCCATTATAAATCAGAGAAGATCTTGATCTTCCGCCATAGCAAATTCTATTTATTAAAGCAAGAACTTCAAAATATCATTTTATATTAGATCGCGAATAGATCTCGGAGTTCTTCTTCATTTTCTTATTTATTGATTATAAAAATTTCTTTCTATCTAGACGATTTTAATATGACTAATATTTTCAATGCTAACAGATTCTACGAAACACGAAGTGTCCTTAGATCCCCTTCTCGAACATGATAATACGATAGAATATTTATTCTAGACGATTCTACGATATATAGTATATATATTTGGTCTTGTTGAAAAATTGGTATAATAATATCACCTCTAATAGAAGTAATGGATCTTTAAGATCAATCTCTTTCTAGAAGATTAGAATATCATGTATTACGAGGTCCTTCCGAATCATACCTATAGAGCACCCCTGCTGCACCCGAAGCAGACATCCTTCATGTTCTGAAGGCCGGGAGTTGAGGGTACAGGGTTGAAGTTGAAGGTATATCAAGGCATCTTGAAGGTTGGACGAACCTTGCAACACCGTGCCGTAGTAATCACTTGACCTATGAAAACTGCCGTTGGTCAGTCCTCATACCGAAACACCGAAACCCCCGTGAGGTTTTGCTGGCTCCTCGCAGGCGGCTTTCCAAACGAGGTCACCAAGTCCTTGCGCTTCTGCCGCAAACCGGCGGGCCCCTTCAAACGTCGGGCGATGCTTTGCATAGCACCTTGACAGTTCTTTGTGATTTTGTGTTGTTAACTCTCTTCTTCAACAACCGGGCCCCAAAAAGTTCAAACTTTAAATGATAGAGCTAGTATATAAGGCCAAAAAATTCAAACTTCGCCCGTTCTCTATATAAGTTAACGGAACCAGAGCACCCACTCAACATGTGTTGCAAGAGCGAGGATTCGGATTTACAAATAAGGGGCTTGGGTTTAGGTTTTGGGCGAAGGGTTTGGTCTTGCGGTTTAAGGTTGGGGAATAGCGGAGACTTACACATGCACTGCAAGTTTCGATACTTTGGGTCGCTGCAGAGCTGCTTGCGGCACTTTTGGTGTGCTAGTCTTGCCTCAAGGGTTTACATTCCAAATACCCTGAAACCTTAACCCTAGGCCCTAGACCCAAAACCCTGCACCCTATCAAAAGCATGAAGCACTTACAAGTGTAGTTCTTCAAGAGCCATATGCTCCACACCCATCCGTAATCCGGATTCCAAGTTCCTTTGAGATCCATCAGGAGAACAATGAAAACAGGTAGCGCTGCATGCATGTGTTTTCTCTTTGATGGAAGACACAAGTTGCTTTCTGTAGCGTGGTTGTGGCTTGAGTTTTGCGGAGACGGCAAGGAACTAGATGCAGCACACATCGCAAACAATCCTACCTGCGCGAAAGACAGTGACTACCACATGCTGACAGTCATGTTTATGAGATTTGCGCAATACCGATATTCGACCAACACCTCCAGCTCCAATGACCGAGCGAAGAGACAAAGCTTTCATGTCGTCCAATGTATACACGTAGACCGAAACTACATGAATAAGTAGGGAGCCTACAGGGAGGATGATGGAAATGTCGATGTCATGAAGCGTGAAAGGAGTGAGAACTTCGCCGTCTCGTGAATAACAAGCACTTGAGGGAGTTAATTTGCAAGTCAGAATAGAAAGGAAACAGCAATTGGGTTTAAGGTTTACGTGTCAACACGAAAGTGAAGAGGATCAAGGGGGTTAAAAGTAGAGATGGACGTATACCTCCGTGAGGTTACGGTACATGTGCTGCGCTGTATTCGGGGGCCTGTTGAACGAAGATGAGCCCAATCTTGAGCATAAATCTCTTGGAACACCTCCTCCCACAAAGACAATTCTGCAAGAGTAACGCCACCGCTTCGCTTTCCTTTCATCAGAAACGCCAACAAGATACAGGAACCTTTAAGTTTAAAACTTGGAGAACACAACTCACCTATGCGTGGCTGTTAACGATCATGTCGGAACCCTCCACCACGATTGGCTCTTCGACGCCGAGATCTTCCGGGCGCGCGAGAATCATAATGGAGGCGGCCAATGCGCACCACACGAACAAGTTCCCAAAGATGACGTCACTCACGACATTCGTCCACAAGACGGCACCTTCAGGCGTCCTATACACCGCAGACAGCTTCACCACACCGAAAAGCATGAGCGTGTCCAAAATTCGAACCCCAAAGGTGATGACGGCCCACACAGAGATCCACCGGTTGTGCTTCTTGTTGCTCGCGCTGCTCAGGTTGGATGATTTCCAGCACAGGACGGCAAAGCAGGTGCCCGCAATCCACCCCGTGAGGTCGAGGGGCAGCGACGTGCTGTCCCACCCGGGCCCCGCGGTCGTCACCGCGAATGTAACGATGTGGGCCACAGCGTAAATGATACCCAGAACCGCGGCAGTTGCCATCAACTGGTGTGCCGGGGTGACCATTGGTGGCTTGCACAGAGTACATGAAACCATGTTCTCGCTGAATAGATTGTGCAGTCGAACTGTATTTGCAAGATTGAATAGTCAGAAGTCATCGTGTGGAAAAGTCAGGAAGGCGAATCTTCGAAGACACAATTCAGCAAGAGCGACACCTTAAGTGGAAGCTACCGGTAAGTGTCTCTTCTGGCTGTACCCCTCGAGATTAAAACCTAAGCCGCTTTCAGCGGGCCTGGCTGGTCACGAGATAATGATCACTCGAGGAGAGGGTTTAGGGTTTAGGGGCACCAAGGTAGTAGGAGATCCGTCTACTCCGGCCACAGGATTTGCTGTAGGGTGCTCGCCATCTTCTGAACACTCATGCTCTTTCAGATTTCAGAGACAACTTGAGCCCGGCAAACTCGCACTGTCCGACCTGCAACCACTATCGCAAGCTCCACAACTAGGACCATCATGCCCGTAGGTCATCCCCATGCTGATACGCTACTAAATTCATTTAAATACAGCGCGAGTTCTATAGAGAACAGTGTGGCTGCATACAAGGCCCCATGCCCTAAATCCTACTTGGGGCTTTCGGGGCACTGACAGGGCTTCGGGCCTTCACGCGGCCTCCCCAAGCCTTGAAGGGGAGGGAGGCTGTAAGCTGTTGAAAAGGCCCCTTTGTAGGTTAAGGCTTCGCGAAATCCGCAGCACAAGGCCCTAAGTCTCCTAACCCAACTCATCGAGGCCCTAGCGTTGAAGGAGCTTTTAGCTGTTCACCTGCATCCTGGGTTTAGAGTTTAAGGTTAAGGGGGTGGGGGTTTAGGGTCCAGGCTTTAGGGTTTAGAAGTTCACCATCGCCACCTTAGCAAAACTTCTGGGCCACTGCAGGGTGCAAAAAGCTTCAGAGACGAGATGCTTGTGATACTCTGAACCCTAAACCCTAAGCCCCTAAACCCCGAAACTCCCAACCTCAGAGTTTCAGGGGGTCCTTCAAGGCTGTCATCGAAAAGGCTTGGGGGTGTAGGGTTTAGGTGATATTCTGTGTTTCGGGGTTCTACGGCTCCAGGTAGATCCCAACGAAGGCTCAAGGCTGTCGGGGCGCTATGCTCGACTGGGACACCCCAAACCCTGAACCGCTTTGGGGTTTGGGTTCTTCTGCACAGGCCTGGCCTAACACCTCTGCAGGGCTTTGCTCTGCGAGCGCTTCAACAAACCCACCAAGGAACGATACTACAAAACTCGCGAGAAACGCCTGAGCTCCTGGGCACAAACCAGGGATCCCCTAACCCCTACTCATGAACCCTGAACCCTACACCCCAAACCCTAAAACTTAAACCCTGAACGCTCATAAACCGTCAACCCGAGCCCAGGCTCGAAGCCATAAACCTTCAACCAAACCCCAAACAAAAATTTAAACCTAATCCCCTACACCCAAAGCCCGAAACTCTTCGCCAAGTCGAAGCCAGCTGCATGTAGCCTGGTACTCCTACTACTCTACTACCTTACGACCACTGCCACTACTGCTACTACTATCACTGCTACTACTACTACTACTACTGCTACTACTATCACTACTACTACTACTCGGGGATGATCGAACACCGATCATTGCGGCTAGGCCGCCGCGCTACAAGCGTGCTCCAGCACGCTGAGCGAACCACCCTCGCTGCGAGTGAAGTGAAGAAGTACTACTACTACTACTGCTACTACTACTACTACTACTACTACGACTACTACTACGACTACCACTACCACTACCACTACCACTACCACGACCATTACCACTACCACTACGACGACTACTACTGCTACTGCGACTACGGCAACTAGTACTGCGACCGTGACGACGACGACTACTACTGCTACTTCTACTACTTCTACTACTACTACTACTACTCTACTACTATTACTACAAGTACTCCCACTACTCCTACTACGATGAAGGCCATCACGATAATGCGTGTCTGCTGTTGGAGTATTGATGGGATTATGTTCGTCATTGCGATATCTGGATCCACGAAACTATTGAAGCACTTAACCGATGCTCCGCCTGGGGCTGTGGGCGAACGGCGGCCACTCCATAGCGCGGGAAGTCAAACCACACGAACACCTCGGCTTGAGGAACCCCCAATGAAAAGGGGCCTGCATGCTTTTATGCCACACTCCACGTGGTTGTTCCACGTAAATTCTCAATCAAAAACCAAATCGAAGCCGAAACCCTGAATAGACTCACCCCCTAAAGTAAAGGCGAACACATGTATCCCAAATACACGTTGGAGCACATTTCAACCAGAGTTCACGACTTTATCTTGTTTGCCTCCCGCGTATTTAGTTCAAGCGCGCCGTGCAGGATTGAGGGTGCAGAATAGTAAGCTTACGTAAATCTAAACGTAAGAAAGAGTGCAACCCTGCCGAGTGTTTTCAAGCCCTGAAAACAAACCAAGGTCTCACTCAAAAAGACATTCAAAATCCCTTCACCCCAACTCGCACGCCTAAGCCCGAAAGACTAAGCCCCCAAAACCGGGTAAACAAAGCCGAAACCCGGCTCCCTACACCCAAGCTCTCACTACAACGGCTAACCCAAAAAAAGCTCAAAGCTGTATCAGCCTTCTTCACGAAAGCAAGACAAAGGTCTTGAAACCTTTAACTTTAACCTATAAACATTACACTACAATAGGTGGACAAGCCCCCAAATCCTGAGGTCCCAACATTTGAACATTAAGCCGATTCACGTAACCCAGGCTGCAGAATACTGCACTTGAGTCAAAGAAACCTTTTAATTGGACAAGCCCTAAACCTACTGAGACAAGAGCCCCAAAACCTAAATGCCCTCAAATGCTCCGAGCGCTAACCCAAAGCCTCTACTGAAGGTGGTGCGTTGAAGGACAAACACTCCTTGAAACCCTGAAATCTGTCCGGATTATACACTACGAGGCAGGATTGGTCCTGCAGGGGCCTTTTACCGTGTGGCGCATGATCGCGTTTCGGGGGCATCGATAGGGTTTGGACCTTCCATCGGGGATTCCAGCTCGGGGTTGCCACATCACGTGTAGGTATAATAACTCTAGCATTCGTATCCCATCCCTGAGCACTAAACCCAAGCCCAAACCCCGAGCCTTTCCCGGCCGCCGCTGTCGGGCGGATGAAACGGAACTATACTCGTATATCTTTCTCCGCATAACGACCAACGACCTGTTTCATCCGCCCAACCCGCAGACCTTTGAGCCTGAACCATTCTTCGTCTTCTCCGTCCCGATAGCGAGAGACGCAGGCAGGGCACTAGCTTGAGCAATAGAGCAACCAACAACACATGAATGAAACATGTACAACGGCATGCGCAACTGTCAGGCGTGGAGAGGTTTCGGGCTCGTCCGCCATCATCATCTCCATCTCCTGTACCGATCGTGTATTGGAGTGATCGCCACTTATGGTCAACACAGTTTTTAAGCCTTTGCCGTCACCATCGTCTTCGGCTTCATCGCCTTCGTCACTGTCATGCTGCAGGTTCTGCGTATGGAGCTAGCACGAAGATCATTCAATCGTGATCATCATAAACTCCGCTATCACCATCACCACCACCGTTATCACCACGACCACCACCACCATCATCATCACCATCATCTTCGCCACACGAACAGCACCAGCAGTAACGACAGCAGCAACAGCCACAACCACAACCTCAGCGTCCACATCATCGCCATCACCATCACCATCATCATCATCACAATCATTACCATGTTCATCGCCATCTGGGCCATGAACATCATCACCGATAACAACAACATCATCATCGTCAACGACATAAACACCTGCACCACCATCACCACCACCAACAACATTAAGAGTGCCATTGACGCTAATATTAGCATTACAGCAACAGGAACATTGACATTACTATTAACATTATCATTATCATTAGCGTTAACCGGCACATTAACAACAACAACAACAGCAACAGCAACAGCAACATCAACAGCAACAAGAACAACAAGAACAACAACAACAACAACAACAACAAGAACAAGAACATTTCATTCACACGCAGCGGGAGAGAACTGTCTGTGGTGAAACTTATCGTCCACGCTTTGCGAGGGATCGACCTAGTGCCCTGCTTACTACTTGCGCGGTCACTATTCACGGCAAGCCGTGCCTCAGCGCTGCACTTGCACACGCTCCGCCCCTCAGGGCTGCAAGCTGTGAAGTGGGAAGCGAATGTGTCTTCAGAGTCTTGTGCGGCGTTATGATTTCGGCACTAGCTTGAAAGCTAACCGGCTTGGTTGTAATGTATCACTGGCTGATTGGCAGCAGATCATTTTGCACTCAGCTGCTGTCTCGAAAGAGTACTCTAGCCTCGCTCTGAAGGCTCAGTGCGAACCACAAGCTCTATGTTGAAAAAGAGGCGGTGAGGCAATGATACGCTCAGTAGAGGCATGCCAGGCGCCATCTCCAACTCGTTGTTGGTGTTCGCTGATGGCGGAGTAGCTCCTGCCGGACCAGTGCTCGTGACATGAAGTTCTCCAGTTCACGGATGGGAAATCGTGGAGGTCACAGCCTTTGGTGGGGGTCCCAGGGGAGGGACTCCTCCTGGGATTCCACCTTTTACTGGCACTCCAGATGCCTTACCTGTGCCTCCTGGTGCCCGATGCGTACTGGATCCGCTTCCCAACAGATTGACAGGCACCGGCGGCGGCGGGCCCTTTGGTGCATCAGCCTTGGGTGCCACTGCATCATCTGAGTCTGACTCCCGGATAGCATCACTGGATGGCGGCGACCTGGGTAGGTGAGGACGACGCCTCACTGGTGGAGGGGTGCGAGAGTTCGCTCTGGTGCCACTCTTCTTCGGAGTTTCGGGCATGGCTACTGGAGTCAAGACAGCTAGTGAGTTGAGCCTGTGTGGGATACGAGCATTAGTTGCTTTTTGTGACCCTTTGGCTGGCAGTTCACTTGCAAAGACTGGGCCCGAGGCTGCATCGAAGTTGTGGATCTGACCTCGGGATACTTGGTTGCTGGCAGTTGATGCATTCTGAGTTAGCCCTTAACCTTGAACCTCCGATTTATTGCCTGAGCGGCTGCAAAGTCTGTTTGGGGAGCGACTCCACCGTTTGGCGGGGCTCTCTTTCTGGAGTCAGAGCGGCCTATTGTCGCCTCCGTACTTGGTGCCGGATTTCAGACTCTGATAGTACTCTATGACAGAAGGAGGCACTACTGTTGGGGTGAGAATCACGCCGTTCTTGCTACGGAAAAACTTCACCCCTGCCTGTGAGGCCTTGCGTGGGTTTACTGCCATCAACATGGACGAGTTTTCTCTGAAGCCAGAGACGCCTGGTTTCCCATAGTCGCTGTCCGACACGAAATGGATATGCTGCCGTCCCTCTCTGCCTCGTCCTCCTTTGCCGCGACCCTTGGAGATCTTGTTTTGTGGCAGAAGGCCTTGTTGACCTATTGGGTCGTACAAGGACCAGAATGTGCCGTGGTAGAGCATTCCGGGGAGCATCTCCTCCGTGAGTTCCTCTAACACCTCTTTCGAGTCCACGTCCGAGCGAGAATGTCCTTGCAGCGCCCTGATATACTTCTTACCTTGGCAGTCCCCTAACTCGTACCTACCTTTGGAGTTGTGCCGAACAATCTCCAGGAGGTCACCTGCCGTGGCGTTCTGGTTCTGCACTCGGGGCCATGTCAGCACGTCCTCCAGCTTGGCCTAACCTGCCGAAGTGACATTGATGTACGGTCTATGTCCGTGCCTGAGGCATGCTGCCAGCGCTTTGGATACTTCAAACGAGAAGCTGGTCTCTGGGTTCGTGGAGGCAGAGCTATAGTCGCCGAGGTCACCCGGTTGACCCTCCCATGCCACAATAGAGGAGCTCCTTGGTGTGACCGAGCTATAGTCAGTGATCTCTGCGATCTCGGTCGGGGGAGGAACTCCACCCTTTGACCCTGACGCTGGCTCTGGAGCTGGAAGGGGAGGAACTCCTCCTTCCTTTCCTCGATCTGACGAGGCCGCTTCACTGGGCAAATCGTATCCCAGAGCCGTAAAACAGTCACGAGCCTGTCGAAGCGGGATCTCAAGCATTCCGCTCCACTCGCGGAGGTAATCTCCTAAGGAGAGGGTCTCCTTTGTTGAGATTTGGAGCAGCAGCGCTCGGATTTTCACCGCGTCAAAGGAGTATATTAGTTGATTTGTTTTCTTGCCACGTTTTTGCGATCCAGAGTGAGCAGCTTCCGCCTCGATCATGGGCCGGACGAATATGTGGCGAGGTCCTATCCTCACCAGGCAACTGTATCCGGCCGCGAGATGCCTGTTTGAAAGCTTGTGGAGATACACTCCTGGGCGGTCCTCGAAGCTTCTTGTGCCGGAGAGATCCGGCGTCGAGGGTAGAAGTCTTCCTGTGGCTAGTATCCCATGCAAACATTCCAGGTGTGTGCCGTGGAACGCAACCTCGCTGTCTCCGGCAGGAAGGATGTTCGGAGAAGAATACTCAAATCTAAACCATCCCTTCTCCTCCGCTGTTGGGAAACCAAGCTTCGACAGCAGGGGTTCATTGGCCAGGCCCCGGCGGGAAGCTAAGAAGGTCTCGAGTAGGGCATTGGCGATCTCCGGGGTCGGTCTCTCCGCCTGATCGAGGCCATCTCGTAGTTGCTGAGTCACTGTCACCATGATTCGGTGGTTGTTCAGGTCAGTGATGGAGCCTGCACAGTCTGTGATCAGACTGGGAAAAGGCGTATACCCCGCAGACTGAAGCACTTTGAGGGCCGCTTCGGTTCGTTCATCGGTGGCCTGTTGTGGGGAGGGGTCCCCTGAGGGAGGATCTCCACTCTTGGCCTTTGCTGCAGGGGGAGTATCTCCACCCTCGCTTTGCCCAGTGCTTCTCTTTTTGGAAGGAGGAGGAGGGGGAGTGACTCCACCCTTTCCACTTCCCGGCTCTTCCAATCCACCAGTGCCTTTTGAGGCACCTTTGTGTGCTGGATAACTTTCGCCGTGAGCACGGGCGGAGCGCCTCCACTGACGCAAGAAATTTCTATATGTGACATGCGGAAGTTGATCACGTATCCGTCGCTGGCAGAAATCCGCATACTCATCCTGAAACGAGGGATCTTGAGTTGACTCTGGTC